GTGCCAGACTAAACCGATTCAATCTGTAGGATCAAGATTTGCCGGGACGACCGCAATACAAGATTTCTAGGTTGATATTCTGTGTTTGATATTATATAAGAAAGTACTTTAAAGCAATGTCTATGTTATTTGGGGTCACTAAAAGTTGTATAATATACTTGTTTTGGAGTTATACTCGTTTAGGAGAAAAAAATGAAAGTTTTTGATGCGACATGTGCACAAACACCAAGTCAGAAATTTCAAAAATGTAAAATGAAATACACATATAAGATAATATAATAAAACTATTTCCGCGTGTACAGATTCCAGCATACTCTTTTTATACTTAACCCTATCGCGCTTTTGTTTGATTTGAATGTTTTGCGTAGGTTGATCTTAGACAGTTTTTATCGTCCGGAAAAAGTTTCATTGGTATTAGAATTTTATACTTCCTGCTATCTCACTGGGTACGCATAACGCAAAGTCGTGAATCTTCCACGGTAGATATCTGTAACTAATTTTGTAGACGAGTATATATACTAAGTAACTCTATGAAATGTAAATTATTTGAACACAAGTTCCTAGGTTATTTATACTTATACGCTACGATTTTAAAATTGGGTAGGATTTATTAAAATATTTTTAACCTATTTCTTTGTATATGCATACATGTATGTCATTGATCCGATGACACGATTGTCGATGTAAATTTAATTATTATATATTGGACATTAGAGTAATGCAATTTGCACACATCTGCTAAGATATGTGTTAATTGCAATTTTGAATATTTTAAGGCTCGATAAAATGGTCATATTATAATAACATGATTTTTTTTATTTGGAAACTTATATTTATTATTAGGCAATTAGCAAATATGGTATTCAAAACACAACACACAAGGTCAGAAATAATAACGTTGAGCCAATTTAGGTGTTATTTTACTGCGATATCTGATCAGATCATTAAGATAAGTTCGTTGTAGAAGAACTCCATATGAAAATAATGCGGCTTAGTTCATAGCGCACCTGCCTCATTTGCATCTTAGTGCTTTACTGGCTTTGCTACGACCAATTTAAATTTTAAATACCAACCATTGTTTATTCCTTTGTGTTTTTTCCGCATAGGGAAAGTTGGAACGATAAGCGTTGAAGAACTATATTTGCATAAGCTAAGAGTAACTTCAGCAAATCATTTACTTAAGCTGCGGCGGCATCAAGTAAAAGTTACGAAAGGATTATGATGTTGATATTTAAAACTTATTTGTTAGATGAATTCATGGATAAGTTTTCATTCGTTGTTTTTATGCAAATACTTACGCTTGCTTTATTATAACACTTTATTACATTAATAAAATCATTTGTCATTTTAAATAGTTTTCAACAAGACAAAATATTAAAATTATTTTTTTATTACAATATATAAACAAACAGGCTTTTTCACAGTAGATCAGTTAAAAAGATCGGTTACTTGTCTTTATAGACGTCTTTCGGAGAGGCAATATGAATCACTTGCACAAAACAACACACACCTAAATAATAGATAATAATATGACGAAGCGTGATCGCTGAAAGCGATTATATTTAATTGTTTGCCATCTGCAACCAAAGCATTATATTCAACGATTACGTAGAAAATTACGTTCATTGACGACAAAAATTGCCAAGATAAAATGTCTAAAATAATCTTTATCGAAATATATTTATTTCTCTCTAGTTCTCGCTAAAAATTCGCATAGATGTAGAACATAGTCTAGAAGAAAAATATTAACGCGCTTAGAATGTGTCAAATCTAAACTGATAAGATTAAACCATAATTTCAAATAATTAATTACGAAAAATACTTGAGTCGCTTGATAAATCCTGAAAATAGATTAAGTGCTCAAGCTTGCAGGTCCAAGATGCACTTAACCGCCTTTTTCAGGCGGTAGTGGCACTTAAGGTAAATGTTTTACATAAGACGATAGATATAACGTCTTTGTATGTACACAAGCGAGATATAAACACGTCAACGATGCATGCGTAAACGGAATTAGAACTAACAACACACTCGAGATCTATTTCTGATAGAAACATTTTATGAGACAATGAGCAATCTTTATACAAAATAAAACTTATCAAGATGAATCACAACGCAAAGATGGTTCTTTTAATTGTACTTAGTTACAGTTCATTTTTGTAATGAGACTCGGTAGTTCAATTTCAATAAAAAATGTTCATCATACACTGAATGGAATCTTGTCATGTTATAGAAACAATTGTTCACAACATTTCTTTGAACATACACGATTCTTAAAGAGCAAACCGTATTACATTACCCAGCCTAATGCAGCAACGTAACCATTGATCCATGTAATGTAAACAAAGTAAACAGGGCTAAAGAGATTAACAGCTATGCCCGAGACTTCACACTCAAATTCAAGGATGTGTGCATGTCAATCAGAAAATCTGATTAGACAATATTTGGAGTTAATAACGTAAGTAACAATTTTATGTATTGGAAATTTTAAAAATGTTGATTATACCTAATATTTAGTAAGAAATGTTTTAATTTTCTATAATATTGTCGTGAATAAAGTTTGAGTGATGAAAGGATAGGCTTAGCCTTAATGTTTTTAAAAATTCATGAAATATAAGCAAGCAGCAAGAATAATTAAGACGCTCTGTGTTAAACTAATTTTTAATGAAGACGCAAAAATTATATAATAAAGAATATTAAATTATGTTTGTTGTATTCCCACAACCGCCAGAGTCGGTAATGACGCCACTAACACCAGTTTATAAAGATAACGATGACTATTAACATGCAGTTATCGTTTTTATGAAATGAAACCTACTTAGAGAGGTATACAGATGACGCAAATGGGTTCCGCTATAGCAAAGTTTTAAAATAAATTCAAAAGTTAACAGAAATACGCTGGATGATTTTTAAAGCCGGATTAAAGGCAAATAAAATAAAAAATTCTTAGTTGATAAACACATACGGATCAAGTTAGTTAATACTTAAAAGTATAGATTTAATATCCAATAAACAGTTGGAAAGCTTTAAGTTGTTCCAATCGGTGACAGTGTGGGACAATCATAAACATTTCCTTCGGTTTGTTCGTCCCCCGACTACGCGCAGAAGCATTGATACACGTCAGTAACACGGACGACGATGACATATTGGCACATATCTCGCTGTCTCGGACATCAATGCAACGCACACACCAATATAAACAAATCTGTCTCTAAAATATCTTTGTTTATTGATTGTGACAAAGTCCACAATTATAATTCCTGTAATGTAAAATTGAAAAACGAATAGTTATTGTCACTACCGTAAAAGTAAAAACCTATCTTTATGAAAATAAGTTAAAAATAGAAAATATTCTTTCTTCTTAAACATATCAAAGTTCTATTCGAAAATACTCATGGCAAATGACTTAATTTACTAAAAATATTAGCTTTAAAATCTATCGAAGATTGACAATTTAGTGGTGAATCTAAAGCAAATGTTTTTTGAGTTATTTTGCGCATCGCAATGGAAACGCAAACAATACTTTCATTGCTTACGTCACAAACACTCTAACATTTGAAGTGAAATACTGTCACAAACATGTAGGCGCGCGTCACGAACTCACGAAGAACTAGCTAAAGCATCAGAGATTCTTTTAAGTGGAGCTCTTCGTCGCTCCGTGTTGTATCCGCGCCGGAAATCACTTCCACTGAAAGTGGAAATGTCTTAGTCTGCGACTAAATGCATTTCATTTACTTTTTATTATCTGTTTTCTTTCTCTTTGTTCTTTTATACGATCAAGTAGACTCAATGCATTTTGCTCTTTTATGACTTTACTAAATGATAGCATGTAGTGAATTTCATGAAAAGTGAATAGAATTTGATAATACTAGTATTAGGTTACAAAGCTGTACTTTGTTGAATAATACTATGTTGAGGAAATTGTTAAGTAAGAGATCATTGTTATCATGATTAAGTGTTTGTTTTGTGTGTGATAGGTCGTTAGCATATCGTTGCATGTCATATAATTATTATAATAAATTTTTATACACATTAGAGTTATATAACGTCAGTATAAGACTAAACTAAATTAAATTAAATGGTACATTAAACTGATTAAGTACCTGATTCATGATGGAATTAATTAAAAATAACAAGGCTATTTTTTTTCTCATGATAGATTGTGGCAAACGATTAAGCAGTTCACCTAATATTATGACAATACGCTACCAAGAAACGACTACAACTTTTTGTTATGCAAATATTCAGTCAGCGCTTCTGTAAGAAAAATAAATGATAGGCAAAAATTATAAAGCGGAAAAGGCAAAGAGGGATTGTACTCCTTTATTTTCCTAGAAATATAAATATGGAATAATCATATTCAAAGAACTACGCCTAGCTTTACACCATAGTACATTATTGATCGATCGATTTCTCTTAGTTCTGGGGCAGCTAAATAATTAGAAATCCAAAATATCCATTAAACAATCCCTCTAACGTTGTTTTTCTAAAGTCGATTTTAACTAAAATATTAATGAATTTTTCATTTTCGCACAATATTGTTGTGCGTAAATCTGTTAATTTTACCTTGACACATTTCACGGTTTATCTAGTAGTATTAGTTTTTCTCTGTCCTAAGCCGATGATTTAATTGGTAGGGGAAGTGTGAATTATCTTATCAAATCCATTAATAAGCTTATCAAAAACGATAGCTTTTACGTATGATCTAAGTAGATATAAGGCTATGTTTGCAGTATTTATACATGTGGTGTGTTTTTCTAGATCTATGAAAATAAAACTGGGTTAAAATTGATAGTTAGTTTTTTACAACCTACCTTCAATTACTTATCGTATAATAAAATACTAGTTATTGTATTTATTAACTAACTACAATAGCAAACAAAATGTATGATTAGGGAAGGTTAAGTTAGGTCTTGGTATAAAATAAAAAGTATTTAAGTAAAACTACTCAAGTCTACGTAGAGGTACTCATTATTTAAATTAAAAATATTATAAAATATTACCTATGACGTATAGCATCTTCATGCACTCGAACACGCCTTGTTGATTTCATTTTCACCTAAACATTTATTGCAATCAATGTTATGTTTCTATGTAGGTATACTTAAATCAAGCACGTTTGCAAAGGATCTATACGTGGGAAAGAAAAAAATGAAGGATAAAGCAATAATTGATAATATAAATAAAAATAATAGGGATTTGTTATAAGCTAAGGAGCTAAACAGTAAGTTTCCTATTATTTAAACGGTTTACTTCTAATGTATTTTTTATTTCACAATCGACGTCAGTTAATAGTCTTATTGTCCTATTATTTTTGTAGCACGTGGTGTATAAACTGTGGTAAATGTGTGGGGAATAAAATTGTAAAGTATTTAATGAGCAGTCGTAAATTTCATATGTTGCGGCGGCGCACCGTCCACAGTCTGCCATCTGCTGCTGCCACCGCCACCGTCATCCATTAATCACGTTTCAATATTTCATGCGATAAATCAGTTAAACCTTACACTGACAATGCTAAATGGTAAACTATCGATCCAAATAATGAAGGGCATTCGGCGCGCCAGTAATCGAAATTATCGCCGTCAATTACCCGTGTCGTAGCCACTGAACATGACCGGGAAAACAACGAGTACGAGTACATAATAGTAATAGAATTTCATCAGGTTCGGCACGACCGGCGCGTCTAAACTTTACTAACCGTCATAAACAAAGAGAAAAAATCGAAACACCAGACATTACTTACATACCTTGAATTTCACAGCCAATCTAAACAACTCAAAACTGACATCCATAAATATTTACATTTCATCGTATAGAGTAGGAACGCGCGAGTTTGCGTGCGTTAGGGCGCACGGGCCGGATGGACGAGCGGCCGTGGTCGGCGGCGCGAACGCGCGAGAGACGCGCGGGCGGGCGCGTCGGCTACGAACCCGCGGCGCCGGCATACTACGGCGCGTCTGTCGCGGTGTACGGCGCGCGGCACTGCGGCGACGCGCGGGCGCGGGGCGACTGCCGCTCACATAGCGCCGCCTGCCGCCCGCCGCCCGCTCTGCCCGCCGCAACCGCCCTCGCCCGTCGCGCCCGCCTTCGCCCTCGCCCGCCGCACACCTCTAATTCTAATTGCCGGCGATCTCAACATTCAGGTCATCGTGCCCGCACTCCGATTCTTCCTGAGCCCTATTGTAATTTTAATATTTAACGCCATACCTGTTTCAATTTATTCCAGGCCTGCAGTTCCATAAAAAGTAACAAGCAAATAACTTTCATTTATGGAACGGAGAACGGATACTGCGCCCGTATACGAGCGCAACGGAAAATATTCTTTGTTTTTATTTAACCCCTGCCCGTATCGCGCGCGAAGATTGCTCTATATTGGATAGGGACTAGATAAAGGATACTACGTAGAATTACAAACATCTGTAAGTCGTACAGTAGCTGCAAGAAAATTGATTATTCGAAATAGAACCTCAAGAGACCGTACCTTTTCTTCCAATTGGTTTATTTTAGTCCGAGATAGAAACAATCTCAGCGGTTGTACATAAGCAGTAAACATACAATTTGATGAATAAAACATATCTTGATGGAACACTGTGTTAAAGTTAGTTATGGCACGTTAAAGATTTCAAACCGTAGTACTAGTATTTGACAATACATACGAGTACAACATAATATATTGTTCACCAAACTTTTATCTAACTAGAATCAAATTTTCTTCCATGAACATAAAAATCATGTTCCAGCATCATTGAATATTGAAAAAACTGTCACTAAATTTACGTAAACAAGCCCTTGACTGACGATACGATTTTCTGAAGTGTCATCGTAGATTTAACGATGGCGTCGTGGATTCGGGAAACATGTCAGCTCTACGATATTCCAGTCGTGTTTTGGCATGTTTTCATTGAACGTTTACTATTTACATAGTTCTTGACGAAAGCAGGTACAATACATTACAGAAATCTCTATTTTAAGCTTCTGTGTTTTTTTGTTGATCTGAACACTTAAGAAACAACGATTGATGCTTTAATATTTCAATTGTTCATTTATATTATAAATCGTAATGGCTTCTGATAAGAAAACACACTAACTATTGTATATATTTGCGAAATCACAAATAAACTAGTATGCTGCCTACTTATGCCTTTGATTTTTATTACAATACAATATGTATATTTTACATTTTCTCTTTTGTACTTTCAGTACAAAGATCGGAGCTACGAGAATGAAAATTCAATTTATCATTAGCGGCGGCGCGACTTGTAGCTACAAAAAGAATGGGAAAGTATGAAATGAATTCACTGACCCGAATGCATAGAGTGCATATAAATTCTTTAATTAAAATGGAACAACGGTGACTTTGAGGACAATGTAGAAAAGATGTTGTTTTTTAATGTTTTATCGTGTATTAATTGTATTGAAAAGCTCGCGCAAATTAAACAAAGTAAAAAAATACAATGATATTTCCTCTACGCTGTTAGTGATCCAAAATTTTTCCAAATTTCATTAATTGTAATATTGCCACTTAGTTATCGAGGCGAAACTTTTCGTTAAAGGTAGCGTTTCCCAGCGTTCAGTGACTACTCGTAGCGACGTAGCAAGGCGCTACGATTAATATGGCACCTTAATAACCCGATTGATAAATTGAAATGAAATAAACAGTACATTATCATGTTATATATTTTTTTAAGTCGTGTAGTTCAGTTATTTAATAATCAAACAATCGTTCTATATGAACGATTTCTGTTATGATACATTAATTCTCGTATTAAAAATGGGTCACTGTAAGAAGTAACTACGCAGAGTAGCAGTCGTTATGGCGTGAGATGACTCTCTGAGCGAGATTTCGAGGATAGTTGGAGTGGGTCGTTTTATTAAAATATAACTGCCCTTAACGAAAATCAAAGCAACGTTTTTATAAATGTAACAGAGATACAAACACTGAGACGAAAGTGTAAATTATACCGTTTCTGGCATTACTCAGACTCGTTAAAGAGGACGTCTATAAAGAACAGTAAGTCATACATTAGCTCATTTAAATAGCTAAGCTTGTACAGTGTTACGATCGAAACACTTGTACAAGTCATATTGTCATCCTATTCTTTCTTTTCGAAAAGACAGCTAACAATATGTTCTTTTGCCGGTTCGACATACAAGTGGTAACCCATGGTAAGAATTACATAACAAAAAACACACTCTTTTTAAGTATAATATGTCAGTTTTATATTAAGAATTATAGTCTTATCTTTCAAATTCTCGTGACACAATGTAAATTACGATGCTCCTCCGAAACGGCTTGACCGATTTTTATGAAATTTTATATGCATATTCAGTTGGTCTGAGAATCGACTACTATATATTTTTTAATCCCGCGCAGACGGAGTCGCGGGCGATAGCTAGTTGATTTATAAATAACAGATGCAAGGCAGGAGTCTAAAGATAAATAAAATGCAGAAAGCTGCAGTATTACAAGTTACGTTAAAAGAATTTTTGTATTTCTCTAACTTTTCTTAAAAGCGATTTTAACTTTCGACGTAGAAATAAAAGTTAAACTCCTTTGTACAATAAAACTTCTACTTGCACCGTTCGTTGGCAAAATACATTAGTAGTTGTTTATCATAGCAGCTTACCGTTTTTATGCATTTTCGTACCATAGAAACTTAGAAAATTACACTACAATACTTCGGATAAATATATTAAAAAAACTAATTTATATGTTTTTTTTTCTAAATGGAAAACCATTTCTGGGTTTACATACATCATATATATTCATTTTCGGTTAAATAATAAATTAAATATCAAAAATATCTTTGCTTTTCTTGTGGACTCCTCAAACGTTAACCAAAATGGCACCATTACTCTTTATAAACCAGAACAAGTGACATTACTTTTCATAATTCCCAGATTATATGCTACAAATTAATAAAGGTAACGCAAGTAATTACGTTAAATACTAAAAACCTCTCTTCTCGAAGCGAACGTGTAAATTGCGTAACTACCTTTTATTTAATAATTAACATGTTTTCCTATGCAATAAACGCTTGTTTTTAGTAACATACATTACAAGGTCAAGCTTTTTTGGAATTTAAACAAGCTATTTCTGGCCCGGTATGTTAAATAACACAAACTGTAAACTCACATACCTACAAGTAAATAAAAAACACTGGACACAAATATTATTCTATTCCACGTTATACAATCCGTACAAATTTTATGAAATAGTCCGAAAAGTAAAAAGTGAACGAAATAAGACTGGTGGAGCCTGCACAATGCTTTTTTATAAGAGGTTTTTGATACGACTATATTTATAAGCAATTGATGATATCGCATCATGATTCCTAATTCGAAAATGGCATATTTTGCCCAAGTACTTTACAGTAGTTGTAGTGCTACTCTTATTAAACTGTGATATAATATACCAGCCAAGCTTATGAGGCGACAAGTTGGGCTATAGCCCAACACATAAGATAGTGTCTCTAAGAACCTACCATCTATTCAAGTAAAACTGTCTTTATATGTTGATAAAGTCTTCCTTGAGAAGACTGCAATACTGAAAGCATATTTTGTAACAAATTATCCAAAAACGAAACAAACATCAATGATTGTAACTGAAATTCAGCTAGACTAAGATAAAAACAATTTTAAATCCTAAGCATATGAAATGTTTTCAGTAGTTTTTATTTTGCATGTGCGGACACAACAATGCATAACAATGGTAAACTACCGCCATCTCTACACACGGCAGGACATTAAAACTTATAACCTTTATAAAAAAAATCACTTAGTAATAAATGTAGCGGCTAAGTTTCTTAGTATTAAATGAATTAATTCTTCAATTAATCAATGAATAACTTTATAAATTAACAAATTAAAGTACTATAAAACTTCTGTACACTATGAACTTTATACACTTTTATGAACGTCACACGTCAGCATAGTACAATTTTGACATCTGTTCTGTCAGAAAAGATAAACATACTTGACGTCAGATTACCGAAAAAGTAGTTTTCAAGTTTTCATTATGTATTTATAAGATAAACTATTTTGATATTCTGATAATGGCTTTATAAGTAACTGTTTTTATAAAATGGATCAAAGTAATAACTCTAGACGAGATTTAGAGATAGATAGTTTTAGAAACGATGAACCTGGATATGACAGAGCGCGTATGAGAAGACAATCTGGAGGCTTCGTCGACTTGGGAAATGAGTCACAGTATGGTACAGGTGGACACCAAGCGTCTGGCGCTAACGAAATCTTTGCAGATATACAGGTACGAAATGTGAATTAATGACATGAAACTATTTTACTCAACATCTTAATTTGTGCAAAATTTAATAATATTTCATTTCTAGGGTGATGTCCCTTGGTGGAAGTCAAATTTCTTCATATCACAACCAGTTCTTTTTGGAACTTGGGATGGTGTTTTCACATCATGCCTTATCAACATTTTTGGTGTGATTGTATTTTTAAGATCCGGCTGGATTGTAGGCCAAGCTGGATTAGTTAATGGCGTATTTATAGTGATATTTACAGGTACCTTTACAATTCTAGTTTTAGTATATAGCATATGTTAAAAGAGACACATAAGATGGTAAAAAGGTTTTTATTGTTTCAAAAGTTTTGTTATTGATATTCAACACAAAATTATTCACTTGATGAATTTCTTTCAGTGTTTGTAGCCTTGATCTCAGTCCTTTCAGCTGTGGGTATATGTGAAAGATGCAGAATAGAAAGTGGTGGGGTGTATTTCTTACTGGGGCATACTTTAGGATCTCGGATGGGAGGAACATTAGGGATGGTGTATTGTTTTGGACAAGTAAGTTTTCCTTAAAATATATATGACTCACTGCATTGTAAATTAATTATAATTATGTGGATGTGTATTTTTAATATTATTTCCAGGCAGTTGGGTGTGCACTGAATGTATTTGGTTTTGGTGAATCTATGGCAAATTTAATTGGCTCTGATAACACATGGGCAGCTCGGGGCTTTGCTATTGCTGCTGTACTTCTTTTGGGAGTCATCAATGTTGCTGGAGTCAAATGGGTGATAAAGCTGCAGTTTGTTTTGTTACTCATCATCTTGTTGGCAGCTCTTGACTTCTTTGTTGGCTCTCTAACAACAGTTCCTAGTAAGTCAATTTAAATAATAACAAAAACCTGGCTTTTAACATTAAAACTCAAATTGAAATATTACATTATACTTCAATTTGATTTAAATGTAATATAAGAATTCTTTCTGTAATTATTATATGTTTTTAAGTATTGTTTAGCTAATATGTGTCATATAAAAATATTTTCTTAAAAAAAAACCTTAGTAGCCTATGTGTTCTTCCAGAGTATGTACTCCATCTATGCCAAATTTCAGCGAGATCTTTTCAGCTGTTTTGGGTTTACCTAATAGTAAATCCATGACATCTAAGTGTTCGCATTTATTACATTAGTAAGATAACAGCAATCAAAATTTAATGTACCTAGATAAGTTAAATTAAATACTTATAAAATATTTTTATAAACATTTACACTTATTTTTAGCTGTTGAATTTAAAGGCTGGTTGGGTGGTACAATAGCTAACAATACCTGGTCAGATTATCAAGATGGTTACACATGGTTCAAATGTTTTGGTGTATTCTTTCCCACTATCACTGGTATTCTGGCAGGAATAAACATGAGTGGGGACTTGAAAAATCCCTCTGTTAATATACCTAATGGTTCTTTAGCTGCGATTAGTACAGGGTAAGTTTTAGAACTGGTTACTTCTGTTAGGAAATCATATTTCATCAGATACTTTGATTAACAATGGATGACTTTGTATCCAGCAAGGCAGAAAAGTACTTTCATTCTTTTGTAATTGTAATTAGGTAATAATGTTTTATTTTAGGACATTTTTATACTTGATGTTTATAATCACACTGGCAGCGACAGTAACAAGAGAGGCACTTCTTAAAAACTTCTCTATAACAGCTGATATATCAGCATTGACTGTTTTGCTGCTCGCTGGATTATATGTCAGCTCCATGAGTTCATGCCTGGGAGCTATGTATGGCACACCTAGAGTTTTGCAGAGCATTGCCAATGAAAAGGTCATACCAGGACTTGATATACTTGGACATGGGGTAAATAAAAACTTATTTTATTTGTTTTAATCCTTAATAGTATAAATGACATTTGTTGATGAACTATATTAATCTGTTTCATTTTAAATGTGAAATGTAGAATATTGTGACTTAATATTTATTCATACTAGTGGTCGCCCATTGGTTAATATTCGATAATAATTTATAATCAATTTTTTTTTTAGCTTTGTGCACTTCCCTCATTAAGTTCAACTGTGTCATATTTAATGTTTATCCGTGCGCTTAATTCCCTTTTAAAGGGGTACAATGTTTTCGCGTAATGTCTTACATGATTTCATACTATCTTTACAGATTACTTGATATTACGGTGTATATTTATGTTGTTTACTTTGCAGCGGGGACCTAATAAGGTGCCCGTGTACTCAATGGTGGTAGTGGCCATTGTGACGGTGACATTTATAATCATTGGAGATATCAACAAACTCGCGCCCATCGTTACCATGCCTTTTCTCATCACCTACGCCAGTATTGATTATTCTTATTTTGCTCTCGCCCAAACATTTGATTTGCAACATAAACGTGAAATGAGGTATGATTTGCTACATACATTTTTTTTTATTTTTCAATTACACATGTTTGCTTTTATACTATCATAAAATTTATGAAAGAAGTTATCAATTTATGTTTAACATAATTGTTATTAATTATTAAGTTAAGTTTTAAAAAGAGGGGTATCTACTTCAATTTTTTGTTTTTCTAGATTTCAAGGCCACGCACAAAGAGACCCACAGGTATATGGAGCCACGGGAAGTGATCTGGATCTCTTGTTTCCCGAAAGAATACGACACAAAAATGTTGGTGTAAGTAATTAATTATTAATGCTTGTAATTTCATAAGGGTTTCGCTTATTTTATGGAAAAAAATGTTAGCATTTTTTATTTTTATTTTCTAGGATTTCACCCCATCTCCCAGCGACTCAGCAATAATGAACGGCCGCATGGCCAATGGTGACGGCGTGCGTCGACCTAGCGTTAGTGTACACTCGAAAAATAAAAATTGGTATTCTCATCTGTGCAATCGATGGCTGTCTCTTGCTGGTGTAAGTTTTCACTACAAAAGTATGTTATCAGATTCAACGATTAACTTCGACAGTTTATTTAATTTGTTTGTATATGTTCCAGGTGGCAGTAAAGCTACTGCTCATGTTCTTGGTGCACTGGGTGTACGCGCTGGGCTGCCTGTCCATTTTGTGGCTGCTGTGGCTGTACATCGGTGCCGCCAACCCCGCAGTCAAGCCCGGCCGGGCCTCCGAAATCAGATTCTTCCATTGGCTTAAAATATCATTCTTACAAGCTATTGGGTAATGATAAAAGATTTATTAGCTTACTTCATACTTATAAATGCGAATGTATGGATGGCTGGATGGATGGATGTTTGTTTGAAGGTATCTCCAGAATAGCTGGATGGATTTTGATGAAACTTGACATACATCTACAACATAGTTTGGAAGAACACATAGGCTACTTCAATCAATTATAATACTTTTCCCAATATTATTGCACCTCTTATGTACTTTAAGAAAACTAATTAACCATTTTTTTTTGTAAATAGAAAACGACCATTAGAATATGAGCAATTAGTGGTAACACCGGTGCACGGTGACATATCCGTGGAGCAGGAGAGACTGAACGATGATAACGAGGACTTCGCGTCGCGGCGTCGGTACCACCAGTCCACCGCACTGCAGAGTCATCTGGTCAGCGTCGACACATAAATACTTTGCCTATTCTGCCACGTCTTTCATTCACAAGGAACGAATGACTTGTATCCCAGAATGAATGACCTGTTTCCGTTGACAATTTCACTTATATGATCATTGTATAATACTCCATTATGCTTTTTTAGTTTAAATTATAATTACGTATATAATTGAACTATTTTTTAAAGTCAGATGTGACATATACTAATTTTCCTGTCAGTTTGTTTATACAACGAATTTACTGTAGCACTAATATAACAATCTAATATACGTGAATGTTGACGAATCATAGCAATGTGATACTTAAAATTTTGCTTTAATATTTTTCAAAAAAACAATTGAGAATATCTTTGAAGGCTAATATATTTGCATTGTTAATGTTTGTATACATTATCTTTGGATGTATTTTTACGATTATCATATATCGAGAGTTTTTACGACTCTTTGTACCGCGAAGCTTGCATGTATTATGCGATTATAATAACTATTGGCGAATAACATTTTTTATAACTACATGATTAGATCGGTTAGGATATTTATAGCGTAAAATACGGATACTAATTGTATGTTTTATAATAATAACGTAAAATATCCTAATACTGACAATTTAAACTGCATAATTTTTATAATCTTTGTTAATATTGCATTTCATTACATGAAAATGTTTGAATTACAACGAAAAAGCTATGTTGCAGAAATTTAATCATATGTAGAATATAAATTAAAAAGCTTTGCTTAAATGGCTATCTTTAATATATCCACAGTCAATTTATTGTCGTGACGTCGTCGCTTAGACAATGAGGACTTCTAGAATATTCCTTCAATTGAATATTCTGATCTCTGGAAACTTTGTCGAAGTTTAGACTGATATTAAATCGCATTCGACTGATTTTTAAACAATGGCAGCACTAATAAAAAGAAATACATTTTTGTAGGTTATTACATTGATGAAAAGGACCTGCATTCTAACAATAGATATTTTTTTATTTTTACAACGAAAGTTTTAACATGTTTGTACGTCACTAGGCTAGAATGAGGAACAACAATTAGTTGGAATTTAGAAGCTGCACTATTAACATTTTAAAGTACTTTTTAATAGTACTATGCCTATAATAAAAAATACGCATTTTTACAAATCATTCCCTCAAAATTAAAATTTATATAAAAAATTGTAAGCGAATTTTTAAAAATGTTTAATGTACTCATTTAACTAAGACTCCACCTATATAATTGTCGGACAGTTACTTTTTTAATAAAATATGTTTTTTTTTGAAACCTTGCGGCCCGACCCCACGTGAGTGGGATAAGACCAGATATTAGGATATGTTTTTATACAAATAATTGAGAACACGATACATGATATACTTTATTTCTTTTTAATTTATTTCATGTATTTATGCAGTAGTTTCGGTTTACCAATTTAACTAATATTTAAATATGAATTGCTTTAAATTTTTTAGTTCCCTTAATCTTGAGGAATTTAGAATCATATTATATTGGTATGATTTGTAAATGTAAATCAACCGTTTATATACTAACATCTAATTTATTGTTTATTTAAAAATTTCGATTGAATTAAGTTCGTAAGTTACATTAACCACTAATTATTAATTGATGAGCTTATTTTTTTCTACTTAATTTGCTGCAACTATACCAAACTCCTTATTTTTTAAAATTACAAACGCAAAAGCATTTTTGATTAGTAGTCGATCTCTATTTATTTCTAAGATAATGGATATTGACTCATGTTTTGTATTAATGAGTATTTCTTTAACTAAAATTCATAGCAATTTTTATTTCATAAATGTCTTCAAATTACTATATATGTATACTGCACTAGAAAAAGTTAAAGCCTGTTTAATAATTAAGTAATTTTGCTATAGTAAAAGTTAAATGTAGCGATGTACTGAAATATGTTCTTATTAAAAGAAATTAACAGATTTTGTTTTTTTTTAATTAATAGGTATTCTTTGTTAAACGGAACTGGGGAAACCAAAAAATTATTTGATCACTTTTAGTTCTAAGGCAGGTAGCAAAGAGTATATAAAATGGCAGGTGGTTTGAAGAAGTTATCTTCATGGTTCTGTCGGTTTAATTTGGCTAGATACGCTCATGTCAATACTGTAAGGATGGTACTATTTGGTGTGTACTGTAAATTGTTATTTGCATCTCTATCAATGATCTGATACTTAGTTAATTTACTGTCGTCGTGTATATTATTATGAATGAATGAAATATCATTTATAATGAAGTCATTTTATGAGAGATAAAAAATCAGTAATCAAATTCATAGACCATTTCCATAACGTCTATTATTTATCAACATATTTCGTTATCTGTGCTGTACCACTTTTTCTATTTAAGCTGTCATCAACTGTCACTGTCAATGACTGGTTATGAATATAAATGGTTGTGGTTTGTTAATTTTCAAGTTATATTAGTGTATTGTTATAAAGTAGATGTTTTAAACTTAGTAATTGTACTTTTACAAAAAAGGCTCGATCCATAGGTTGAACATTAAGTTGGATCCTTTATGACTACGTGAAGGTAAATATAACACAATAATGGCGGAGGATCTACGGAATTACAAACTGCAACTACAACAGGTAACTATGACGATATGAAAAAATTTAACATACTTGCTATGCGACTGTGTTATATAAATAGAACATGTCCTTAATATTTTATAGGTGGAAGCTGCCTTATTGACCGATCCCGAAAATGAAGAACTTCTTAAATTAAAGACGGACCTAGAAGAAGTAATTGAGTTGACTCAAGATCTTATAAAAACTCAAGAGGGTGATATCAAAGTTGATATTCATAGTTCTAGTAATAATGATAATGTTGCAGCCTCCCCCCGGAGCGATGACGACGAAGCCACCTTCAGTAGCGCTGCAACCAAGTGGCATGTTGGAGAGAAGTGCCTTGCTAAATGGAGAGCGGACGGCATGTTTGTATTCAATCTTATTTTCTTCTATACTTTAGCAATAACATTAATTTAATTGTGAAAGCCTTTTCATTTTGTCACAATGCAGTAATGCTTTGTTAAGATTTTGTCATTTTTTTAGGTTCTATGAAGCTGTTATTGAAGAAATTAATAGTGATACTTTGAAAGTAAAGTTTGATGGATATACAACATTAGAAGTTGTGTCCGTAAATGATGTAAAACTTGCAGGTCCTGGCTTTAAAAGACCCCACAGTGGTGATGAAAGCAAGTGAGTCTTGTTATATATTTTATTAGAATTGAAATATTACACCAATCAAATTTATATTCACTGTCATGTCCAATTTATCACTATTTAATAGAATTATTAAATTTTAATTATTAGACTTGTGTGACTCTTTTTAAATACATTTTGTAGTTAATAAATATGTAATCCTTGGAAGAATAAGAAGAATCAAGTAAGTTAATTTAAAAATATTTTTATTTTCAGACATGTAAAAGGCTACAATAGGGAATACCTTAAGAAGAAAAAGCAGAAGAAGCAGCAAAGATTTAAACAAATCGAGGAAGAAAGAGAAACTGACAAAAACAAATGGCTAACATTCCATTCTAAAGCATCGAAAAAGCCAGGTGTGCGGACAAAAAGTATATTTGCATCTCCAGACAATTTGTCTGGCAGAGTTGGTATAGGAACATGTGGCATATCTGGGAAACCAATGACTGAGTATACCCCTGGAGAAAAGTGGAAGAAAGGGGGATAATGAATGGCTTCACCTTTAATAGTGTAATTTTACTTTAAGTTAGGTATTATTACTGAATATAATTAAAATTATATTTTTTGCAATTATACTGACACAAAGTATCTCTTGTTGTTCCATTATTTGGGCTTAAAAATATTTTTTGTAAATATTAATCTTGTCTTTCATTGAGCACTGTTACCAAATTTTTTGAACTATATTTTTTAGAATTTTTAGATGTGACCTTCTTTTAAAAATTTTAATGCATTTAGATATATAGCTAGGAATATTTCACAAATTAATGCAAAATAAAAGCAATAATAAAACTTGAGCAATAAAAATACACTTAGAATAAAACTTAGTAATGTTGTTATTCTGAACTGTTAACTATATAATTTTCATCACTAAATTATAGTTAAAGTTAGACGAAGTGGCTTATTAATTAATAAAGAAAAAAAACAGCATTTACATTTTACTTAAAGTTTTTGAGATCAATTTTATAAAGAAGCTACTTAAAGATGTTACATAGGTTAATGTTAGAATTTTATTACCGAGACTTTGATCTGCAGTGAAGCTTGTATAGTTATCCCTCTCATTCTTTCTGAAAAAAGAGAGACAACTATATGTTATACAAGCAAAATGCTTACAGCTATGTAAAAAATAATAAAGAACGACAATAAGAGTAGTCTGTCTAGTACAAAATTTACATTAAAAGTGAAAATTAAACAAATAGCTTGCGTTTATTCAATTGTATCGACAATACTATTTGTTTAGTAAATAAATGATTATTTACTGCAGTCGTTTTTTTGTATTAAGTGTCATTATATTATCTCATACATGGGTATCTTGTAATTATGAGAAGAAAATCAGCATATTGAGTAAAAAAAAAATTACTACATATTAAAATTTTATTCTATAATACCAGTATTTTTTCTGGCTTCTGGTTATTAAAAAATAACCGTGTTTATAACTCATCTGAGACAAGTATTAGTCTACGTTTTCAATGGTAATTAATGTAAATTCCATACTATAAAGGAATTTGATTAGAATACAAAAATTTATAACGTAGATGTACTTTTTTCTTAAAACTGACTGGACTAAGCTATGCAGGTGCACTGTAGGACACAGTCATTAGCAGTAGCAAAATAGCATCATTAGTATTAATTTTAGTAATGTGGTACCAAATAACGGACTTTTTTACATCAGAAGATATACCATCCAGGATGACCAGTTCTCATAGCTAAGGTGGCCCGACCCAGGTCTTGTCTAGACTACGACCTACACAAACTTTAATATGTTGAATTATTAAACTCTTAATGACAGTTATGTTACTACTAACTACCGCCCGCAACTCCGTTCGCGCGGTATAAAAAAATACTTAATAAGTAGTCTGCCAAATTTCTGCAGCCTTTCTGGAGATACCTTCTAACATCCATCTATTAATCCATCCATCTAAACTTTCGCATTTATAATATTAGATATCTAATCCCATACTGTCCATTATCGTATAGTTTCGTTTAAAATACAAAATTACTTTTGCCGACCTACTTACGGTCTTCTTACGACCGTTTTCATCATGTTGCTCACTTTTATATCTATAGCCAATTAGCACCAGCGGACTACTTTAGATGGAGGGTGAAAGGCGGTCATTGATGGCAACCAGAATTTTGGGGACTTTCAGATGAACCAAACCAAAAAGCGCGTGGTCGCATATCGGAGTTTTCTACCATACTTTGATATAGGGAATATGTAAAATTTTAGCCATTCATAAATTGCGTAATTAAAACTATTTTCTTAATACTTAAGTGATAGACAATTCCCGCCGACTTCCCGTAGGGAAATTTCAGGGAAATGAAAATCATGAGATCAATCAATGTGGATCGCAATATAAATCTACAGAACAAAATAAATATGAACATTTATAAATATGGCTATGAGAAAGGTTTGATGTTGATATTATTCTTGGTCAAAGTATTTTTTTTATAAGACACATGATTTCACGTCCTAAACATAATTTCGTACAGTTCAATTTTTTGGTTAGTGCTTAGTGTACATAGGTATGCAAAACGTACCAAAAACATATAAAAAACGTACAAAAACGGAGCCACAATAAATAAATGTTTTCTTCCAGACTATGTCACCTGTGCCAAATTTCATCGAGATCCGTTGTGCCGTTCTAGAGACACCTTCGAACTAACATCCATCCATCCATTCTTTCATCCATCTAAACTTTCGCAATTATATTATTAGTAAGATTATGTACACGAAAACAGGTTTTAAATTATTTTTAATCAAATACTAGGTATAAATAAACGATGTACGAAACCCTAAAAAAAAAGAAAATGTTCATAAATAAAATACTGAACCTTGTTCGAATATAGCATTCTTTGAATTTATATTGAAAATTCATTTTTAAATTAGATTTACCTTCGTCGTACGCTGCTACAGAAAATTAGATTAGTTCAGATGCAAATTGCATACGTTCCTCTGTAAAGAAAAAGTTGTCCATTTCATTTCTTAGTAAGGTTTCTTTACGTCAAATTGGATTTGTCGTAGGGTATTGGATGTATCGAATAATAAAACGCTAATACAAATCTTATTCTATTGACTGAAATTCATTGAAAAAATACTAAACATTATTAAAGTAGCCAATCTTCAGCTAATCAGTCGGTGGTCGGTATATATTGAGTATAATACAGCTAGCGTCTTTATAGAGATAATTCGCCAAAAACCAAAGGAGATCAGTTATTTGCCGTTCTCGGCCTATTTGCGCCCTTGTTATATAAAAAAAGATATTCGAAAAAAACCGCATGTAAGCATATTGGACGTATGGCTTCCAAGTCTTGTGATGATGATAGGAGTATTAACGTCTAAATTCGTTTGAAACGATAAAACAAACATCAATCACAAAAAAAATACAATCTCTTGGTTAATTGCATTTTGCCATCTTTTCTTTCTAAACTGTATTTTTAGAGTAGAAGGCAAACGAGTAAGCCGTTTGGTGATTGCGCTAAACTAAACTAGCGAAGTGACTGTGGAGAGGACGTACAGTAAGAGGATATTTCCTCTTCATATTCGTACCCTTCCCTACTAAATGCACTTACGCTACCTATCTTTTACCTATAAGAAAAGGATGGAAAGGTGAAGTGGACAAAAAATACTAGAAGAAAAGGTAGTTACTTGCCAGCAACTTTGAGATTGAGACTTCAAATGTCTTAGCAACCCCGTGATGAGTGCTGTAAAGTGCAAGAAACGTCCTTAACATATTTGTGTTTTAGGAATTTTAGCATTTAACTTATTTAAGTTTTAAGTTTTTGACTATTTTAATACCAATGTGCGGTAATTGAGTAAACGGACATATGATTTATACTTTGAAGTACATAGATTTTATTTTTAGTCTACCTCGGTTCTGGGTTTTAGTTTATGTGCTTATCATTTTGTCAAGTGTTGTTGTGGTTTTCAAGGAAGCTTGTGTAAAATACATTCCTCGCAACGATTCGTTTCATACTACATGTTGCAATCTCTGTAGCCTATTTGTACTTTCATTACACAATACATTTTATTGTACTGCTTTGTTTTCGACTTTTTAAAAACCCCTATGGGTGGTAGTTTTTCGTGTCTCTCACAGAAACTCAACAAAATCTTTAACAAGAAACACCGCGGCGAACACCGCCGTCCATGGACATCTGCAATATCAGTGGTTCATTTGGTGTCATACATAAAGACGACTAGTTACTGAAGAGTCTGGTTACGAACCCCTCATTACGTTTTTAAGGGTTAAGTATAAGCATAAGTAAAGTGGCGAGGAAACTTGAGGAAAGCAATTCTACCTGGTTGCTATTTAGTTAATCCCCTGGACGTTATTCGTTTCTTTTAAATTTCAATAATCGTTACGTAAATGGGGCACAGTAAAAGGATCCTTAAAGGATAAGATGGCCATGAAAGGCAGTTTCGGTCGCTATCTTAATCGTTTAGCCTTTAGGCGTATTTATGTGGCCAGTAATAAGTTATCAGAAGCCTAATTACGGCCGCGAAACCACCTGTCCGCTATCATCGCTGTACATAGGCCTTCGCATATACTTCCGTACGTCTTACGCGCGGGCCCTCCCCCGCGGCGCGATTGGTCGGGGCCGGGGGTGCGCGCGCAGCGGCCCTCCCGCGGCCGGCGCGGCACGGTGCGAGTCCGCAGGAGCCGGCCGCCGCAATGTGCGGCGCGGACAGTGCCGCCGCGACCGCGACCGCGCCGCCTCTACGCCGACACTCTACGCCGACATCCCAACGCGACCGCTACCACGCAGCGACAACTCTTCACGCGATCGACTTGAAACGAACTTTTAATTTTCAAAGTTTCAAAAAGTTATGTTTGACTTTTCGAGAGATTTAGTTTAAATTACTTTTTTATTTGTGAGCGATAGAGTACCAAACTTAAATTTAATTTGGTGATGTGCGATGGGTGAGGCGGGTAGGATGTTTGTTTGCCTGGCGCGCTGCGCGTGGGCCTGCGCGCTGTTGGCCGTCGTCGCCGGCGCCGCCGCGGAAGCTCACGCAGACGTTGACACCTCTACTGGCCTCGGAGATAACACTCTCACTAATTCAGGTAAATTTATAATTTTTTTGTTATTTAAAATAATAAATATTACTATTATTTATTACAAGTTAAATGCAGAGATTTCGAATGGACCATCATTTCTTCTAGTATGACATTTTTTTATCTATACCTACATATATTCATATTTTAAAAAGGAAAGATTTGTATTTTTGTATGTACTGAATAATCTCAAAAACTGCTGCACCGATTTAAAAAAAATTTGAAAACTACATTATCAATAGTAGCATAGGTTATATTTTTACTTGAATATATTTTTTAATTCCGCGAGGACGAAGTCTAATGTTGTATAATACAAAACTTTGATTTGATAGATACGTTGACCAACATGACAGTTAATAACATGATTTTTTTGTTGTTGTTACAATATGACATATCGTACAGTTGTTACTGTGTATTGAGATAAATAAACATGAGGTCCCATTAGTTCTCACATTTAGACCCTATCTGTGTCTGAAGTATAGGTATTGTAAACATAATTTGTGAGGTTAGAAGATTGATATGATTTGACTTTATTATCATGTACAAATTACACACAGTACCTGTATGAGAAGAAGTTTATATCACATTACATTAGTGCATTAATTGTGTTAACGCTATGTAACTTTTCAAAGATTTTATATGATTTATGAAGTAATTTGAAGTTATATTTGGTATGGGATAGCTAGTTATGAAAGAAAAAGTATTTTATTGGATACTTTTGTATGCTGATCGAATTAACCGATCAACCCCTATTCCGCATCTTGAATAGGTTTATATTCTACTTAGTCTGAGTTACGCAATATCTCGCAAGAGACAGAGTTTAATATGGAGAACTGACCACCAACCTTCGCTAGTTGTAGAGGCACCTCAAGAAGTCTACGAAGTCATGATGTGATTTTGTAATTATAACTTTACTATATTTTATTATAGTTATAAAATGTCTTGAAATGAATTTCTCTTAAATTTCTATTCTAGTCTATCTTCCTACATTAATCATGGCTAAAAATAAAAGACATAACTGTGTGTTTTAGTGGCAATGTTTTTAGATATTGCCATTGACATTGACGTATACTTTCTACGATTAAAGAAAATCAAGTTTCTCTTTTATATTTTTAAAAATATCGACTCTAAAGAATACAAAATAGGAGTTTGTATTTTTAGACATTGCGTATAGGATGAAGAATGAATTTAATAAAGTAGTTTTTAACT